CTCACCCCTGCTGCGCTGTGCACTCTGCATCGGGGGCATGTCTGTCAAAGAGCAGATGGAGACCATACGACAGTGAGTACTGGCCCAGGGTGGTCCCAAGCCATACAGAAAAGAGAAAGGCCTCCTATGGGCCCAGCCTTCAGGGAGTTCCCAGTCCTTGGAGATGGACACTTAAACCACAAACCTGGGTGGCTGGGATAGGACAGAGGAAGGGGGTGAGGTGCATGGAAGCTCAACAGGTGGAACAGCCCACTCTGCTGAGGGGATCTAGAGAATGAGGTAGTCAGAGAAAACTGCAGGGAAGGGGACGCTTGAATTTTGAAAAGGGACATTCCAGGCAGAAGTCAACAGCAAGAACAGAGATGAGGGGCTCAGTGTGTCCAGGAAGGTCAGGGTCGTTCAGTCTAGTCAGAATGAGGAGGCTGAGGTACTAGGACCGAAGCGCAATCCCACCCAATGCATGCCTCCCACAGCAGCCACATCTGGCCAGCCCCTGTCCCTGGGACATGCCTTGTCTCAGAAAATGCCACCACAGGAAAGATGAGCTCTCATGGGAGAGGGAACCCACCAAGGCCTGCAGAGGGACTTCATAAACACAAGCTGAGGCCCGTCCTAAGATTCAGCACAGACCCCCGGGACAAGAGGAGGAGTGGTCCCAAGAAGGGGAGGGGTTGCGGGAGCACAGCAGTGGTGAGAAGGCTGCACCTTCTTCCCTGGGGAGAGCTGTGTGCCATACAGGGCAGGGCAGTAGGAGCGAAGAGGAGGGGACAGGTTAGGAGAGATGGGGAGGTTGGCAATGAGAGGGCAGAGCAAAGGCAGAGCCCCAGCCTCTAGGTAGGGGTGGGTAAGTAGCCCCCATGTAAAGGTCTCTCCTTGGTTACCAGCGGAGTGCACATGATGGTAGCTACCCCTGGGCGCCTCATGGATCTGCTACAAAAGAAAATGGTCAGCCTGGACATCTGTCGCTACCTGGCCCTGGATGAGGCTGACCGCATGATTGACATGGGCTTCGAGGGTGACATCCGTACCATCTTCTCCTATTTCAAGGTGTCTACTCCTGCCTGGCTCTGTGTCCCCATACACACCATATTTGACTGTACTGCCCCTCCCAAATACTGCTCCTTTAAGGGGGCTGCATCCCAGCTGTCAGCCTCCTTAGCCCACAAACCCATTTGCCCTTGTCTCCAGCCTCCCTGTCCCATGTTCCCAAGGTGCCAGCCCCCACCCTTCCTCAGGGCCAGCGGCAGACCCTGCTCTTCAGTGCCACCATGCCCAAGAAGATTCAGAACTTCGCCAAGAGCGCCTTGGTGAAGCCTGTGACAATCAATGTGGGCCGTGCCGGGGCTGCCAGCCTGGACGTCATCCAGGTGGGCAGGTACACTTGATGGTGAGACTGTCACCTCTGAGAGCTGGAACTGGGCTCCCTTGAAACTGACTGGAGTGGGGGGTTCTACCTTGGGACACTGGGGATACGATTCAAGACCATGGCCCCTTAGCAGGAAACATGGATAGAATCCCACACCCTTGGTACCAAGAGGCTTCCAGTTACCTTCTAGCCCAAATTGGGGACCTGACCTACATGGCAGGGCTATGGCTGGTGAGCCTAACCTCAGGATCACTTGACTTGGCCCTTGTGGTGGCAGGAGGTAGAATATGTAAAGGAAGAGGCCAAGATGGTGTATCTGCTCGAGTGTCTACAGAAGACACCCCCACCCGTGAGTACGGCGGACAAGGCTAGCCCACGTCCCCAGGAAGGAGGGAGGGAGCATTCAGGACAGCTGCTGGGGGAGGCTGGGATGCACCTGGGTGGAGTGAGCCCATGCAGCAGAGTTGGTCTTCCTGGACAGGTGCTCATCTTTGCAGAGAAGAAGGCAGATGTGGACGCCATTCATGAGTACCTGCTACTCAAGGGAGTCGAGGCTGTGGCCATCCATGGGGGCAAAGGTCAGGGTAGTGCATGCATTGGCACAGACCCTGCTGCCACAGCAGCACTTCCTAACCCCTTTCCCTGCCTGGCCAGCCTGCTGCTTCTCCCCAAATTCCTCCTGTAGCTCTGACAGCTCCTACCTGACCCCCAGACCAGGAGGAACGAACCAAGGCCATTGAAGCATTCCGGGAGGGCAAAAAGGATGTCCTCGTGGCCACAGATGTAGCCTCCAAAGGCCTAGACTTCCCTGCCATCCAGCACGTCATTAATTATGACATGCCTGAAGAAATCGAGAACTACGGTGGGTAGCTGGGGGGAGGCCCAGGGTGCAGAGAGTTGGGGAGGGCCAGGCCAGGCCCCAGCTGCTGGGCAGTGGGCCAAAGTTCTGCTCCCCCTCTGCAGTACACCGTATCGGCCGCACTGGGCGTTCAGGAAACACAGGCATCGCCACTACCTTCATCAACAAGGCCTGTGGTGAGTCACTGGGGCCTCAGCTATCCCCTGGTTCATCTGCCTTGAACAGCCAGGTTCTGACCAGCTGTAGCCCAGAGTTGGGCCTAAGGAAATCCCCTCTCCCTGCCCCACAGATGAATCCGTGCTGATGGACCTCAAAGCCCTGCTTCTGGAAGCCAAGCAGAAGGTGCCACCCGTGCTGCAAGTGCTACACTGTGGGGATGAGTCCATGCTAGACATTGGAGGTGACTGTGGGGCAAGGGTACAAGGCCAGGGTGGAGGTGGGGGGGGTGCATGACAGGAACATAGTAGAAACAAGTCCCATGTTGGACATCAGGGCTTGGGTGGCTCTGATCCCCAGCTTTGGGCCCTGGAGCCCGGCCCTATGGCCATGCTGATTCCACCACCACCCCTAACTCCTAGGAGAGCGTGGCTGTGCCTTCTGTGGAGGTCTGGGCCATCGGATCACTGATTGCCCCAAGCTTGAAGCTATGCAGACCAAGCAGGTCAGCAACATCGGCCGCAAAGACTACCTAGCCCACAGCTCCATGGATTTCTGAGACATCGTCTCTCCTTCTCTCCAAGAAGCCTCAGTCCCTGGGGCTCCAACCACCGCCACCCACCCCTACATACGTACACACGCACACACACACACACCTGGTCTCCTGGACAAGAAGCCAGCATCTTCGGCCCAGCTGGCCTGGGCTGGGCCAGGCTGGGCCTGACTGCCTGCTCCCTGTGCCCCCAGAACTGTTTTTATCCTCCTTCACCCCAGCTGCCATTAAAGCTCAGCCTCTCTGGTCTTAGCCTCTGTGATTTTCTTTGTCTGCCTGTGGTCCATACACGGGTCTTACCCTCAGATCTCAGAGCTCTCAGAGACAAGGCCTTGGCATCTCCCTCACTCATCAGCACCAGTTTGCTAGATCCTGGATGTGTGGGGAGCCACCTAGCTGGATGCCCCTCTCTACCCAGGCATGATCCAGGGTGTCCTCTGGGTTGCCTGGATTTATAGCTCAGAGAGGAAGCCACACTGCTGGGCCAGAAGGAATGGTTGGTTGGTTCTCTGGCCTCCCTGGGGCTATCATAACCTCTGCCACTGCCCTAGCCTCACTCTTCCTGTCTGTTGGGTAAAGTCTCCTGGGACCTGTTGAGAGGCCACTTCCTGCACCAAGTCCAAATTAGCAGACGGCACAGGGTCACCATTCACAAGCCCCATTGGCCCCTACTCTGCCCAGCTCAGTTGGTGCTGGGTTCCTAGTGCCCATGTCAGCCTGCTGGAGCCTGCCTGGGAAGCTGAGGCGAGCAGGAGAGCTCATGAAGACACAGATAAGCCTGGTGGCCATCATGAGACTGCTACAGATGAACTAGAATTTCAACATCTGAGCAGGGGGCAGCAGTCACTTCCTGAGCAGTCCCTCCAGGCCAGGCGCCTATGTAGAAAGCCACATGCTAATCCCAGTGGGACAGCAGTTGCTCAAGCCATGTTTGTCACTTGATGTTTGGCCTTGGGCAAGTTACTTAATTTTTCTGAGCCTTGATTTCTTCATCATTGAGATGGTAATGAGGAGGCAGACAGCTCAGAGCCACCTGACTACCTCCCACTATGGATACAGAGCAGGTGCCCAGAAAGCCTGAGAAAGTATCCCTGGCCAGGGCCTGTAGAAGCCTGTTGAGGCTACCTGTCCCACATGTGGCCCCAAACATTCCTCAGCCTGGTTGCACACTCCTTCCCCAAGGTGGCACTTGTGACTGGCATGAAGCTGTTCCCAGAATTCAGAGCTGCACACAGAACCTGAGTACTAGCCCCCAAAAGGGGGCAGAGCTCTAAAGGAGCATGTGACCTCTCCAGGGAGCCCACAGGATGCCACCCACACCCTAGTGGCTGGGTCACATGAACGTGGACTCCCTTGTGGACTGGATCCCTATTGTGGGGTTTATGCCGTAGAAGCCCTGTATTCTGGGACAGTGCAGACAGTTTGGGAAGGCCTCTGGGAAGAAGAGGCAGCACGATGGTGGAAGCACCCTGGAGAGGCTGGTTTGTGAGCCCAAACCCCGGATTCAGAGTGTGTAGCTGAGGGGAGCACTGAGGAAATGAGCTAGGGGGCAGAAAAACAGGGCTGGGTTTGAGCAGTACAGAAATGGCCACCTACAGTGGAGCGGGTTGGGGCAGGGGTTCAAAGGGGTGATGCTGAGACTGGCAGTGGGGCAGGGGATGTGAGGACGGAGTGACTATTAGAAATACTCCAGAGAGAAAGAAATACAGAATGGGGTGGGTAAGACCATTGTTGGCAAGCCCACGGATCCAAACCCAGACTCAGAAAAGCAAAAAGGATTCAAAGTGGGGCCAGAATGGTGAGTATAGCAGGACTGGGGTGTACAGCAGCAGGGAGGGGGTGGGGGAGAGCTCGTGACTCAGGGGAGCCAGCCTACGGTCAGATGCTCTCCCAGCTGACCCAGGGGCAGGCCGGGGCCATTACCCTTCAACGGTCTGAGGCCCCTGCTAGGTACATGTGGGCATCAGGCCCAGTTAAGACCCCCAAAAAAATATGTGATGCCCCTAACGCCTGTCCCAATTCCTCTACTGGAGACAGGGCTCCCCTCCCCCTCAGCCCTGCAGCTGCCTCTGGACGGAGGGAGGGGAAGTGGCCAGAAGGGGAAGTGTGAGGAGTTCCCCTCCTGTCACCAGTGTCCTCGGGCCTTCGGAGTGGCGGCCCCGCAGTCCGGCCGCATCCATGGAACCTCTGGAGACCCCCGTCAAAGATGGCATCCTCTACCAGCAGCATGTCAAGTTTGGCAAGGTGGGCACCCCTCGACTGCCAGGCAGCTATCCAAGACAAATGTGGGCAGCAAACAGCCCCCCAAACCCTGCCTTGGACATCCCACCCAGACCTGAGAGAAGTGGGAGTTGGGGTGGGGGACCCAACCCAGGTATGGGAGAATGGTCCTGGGCTTGAGGGGCTGAGGCTGGCCAGGGCCTGTAGAAGACCTTACCTCATTCATGGATGAGGGAGCCAAGAGTGCAGATGGGGACCAAGAATCCAACCTCCTTGCAGGTCAGAGCAGAGGCTGACTAGACCAACAGCCCTCATGACCATCTCATAGTGGCACCAAGATCCCTAGGGAGGCTAGCGAGGGTTAGCTAAGATGGAAGAGACCTAGTAGGCCCTGTGGCCATGCCCCACCCTGCAGAAGAGGGCTTGACTTCCAGCCGGTCATGGGAGGAGAGGTGGGTGGGGATTCTACCTCTCCCCAGCAGCCAGCCCTGCACCCCCAGCTCAGCTGCAGCTGCTGCCCAGGCAGATAAACGGCCTGTTTCCTTTGCTCAAAGCTATTTGCATATTTCCTTCCTTGCCATCATGAGGCTGAGGCCCTCTCCACTCAGCCCTTGGCCCTTGGCTTTTGGCCTGAGAGACCTGTTGTGGGAGGGAAACCAACACAACAGTGGTGCGAGGTGGTCTGCACCATGCTTCTCAGGCCTTCACAGACACCATCCAGTGGAACCCTCAACTCTGTTCTCACGGTGCTTAGGAAAGTCACAGCAAAGGGTGGGGGGTTTGAACCCAGGGCCGACTGACCTGGCACACAGTCTTCTCTGCACCGGCCTGGCTCTGACAGGGCCTTCTTTCCTGGGACTCTGAGGAGTAAGGGAGGCAGAGACCAGGAGTATGTGCTGAGCCGCTTGTGCTGCACTGAGCTGAGCGGCAGGGAGACTCCACTACCCAAGGGTCTCCCCCTTTTCCACAGAAGTGCTGGAGGAAAGTGTGGGCACTGCTGTACGCAGGAGGCCCATCAGGCGTGGCCCGGCTAGAAAGCTGGGAGGTCCGCGACGGCGGCCCAGGGTCTGCCGGGGACAGGTCTGCACGGCGTGGGGAACGGCGGGTCATCCGGCTGGCTGACTGTGTATCTGTGCTACCTGCTGATGGTGAGAGCTGCCCCCGTGACACTGGAGCCTTCCTGCTCACCACTACGGAGCGAAGTCACCTGCTGGCCGCTCAGCACCGCCAGGCCTGGATGGGCCCCATCTGCCAGCTGGCCTTCCCAGTGAGCATGGGCAGGGGCTGGCAGGGCACACCTCATCCCCCACTTGGGTCATTTCCATGCTCCCGTGTATCCTCTCCCTCAGCAGCATCTGCCAAGGACCTATAAGCAGGAAACCCATAGAAAAATTCACAGATGGTCATTCATGGTAGAGGAAAGGAAACACTGTGGGATGTTCAAGGAAGGCATCTCTGGGTGGGGAGAGTAGACCTGAGTGCTGAATGACAAATAAGAGCCCACCAGGTCAAGATCTAAGGAAAGAGTGTCACAGGCAAAAGGAGCAGCACGGACAAAGGCCTTAAGCCAGGAAAAGTTTGGTATGTTCAAGTGCCGGTGTGGCTAGAGGGTAAGGAGTGGGAGGGAGCATAGTAAGAGATGAAGTTTGACAGGAGTCACATAAATCCATCTTGGACCATGGTGCCAATTTGGAATTTTATTCTGAGTAAGACAGAAACCTTATGGAAGGCTCAAGCCAGAGAACCAAAGGAAATGAGCAGATGCTAGGGGACCAGTTAGGAAGCTGCTGCATCTGAACAGGCAGGCTGATGTCACCCTGGGCCAGGAGGGTGGTGTTGAAAATCAGGAGCCCTGGAGATGGGGGACTTGCTGAGAGATTGGAGGAGGGAGAGGGAGAGGGAGAGAGGGCTTTTTATACTTTGATGGAGAAAGTAGCCTGAGGAGTGAAGAACACAAGAGCCTAGGACCAGGTCACTCATGAGTTCCTCCCCAGCCCTCCTGCCCCTTCCATGCTCTACACACTTGAGGATACACAACCCAATCCAATCCCAATAGGGACATGCTCCTGTGTGCCCAGCGCTTTATACTCTCTGACACCTTTAAACACAGCACCTGCAAGGGGGCAGTGGATGAGACTGCTGTCCACCTCATAAGTGGGACAACAGGACCAAAGGACTGGCCCACTGGCAGAGTGGGCTGACCTGGCTGACCCCCGGGTTGCTGGATGCCCTTGTTTGTCATGGAGTCCTGAGTTACTGACCCCAGGGAGGTGTAGGGAAAGGACATGGAGAGACAGAAGAGGCGAATGGAAGAAGTAGGGACTCTAACCTCTGACCTTGGACCCATCCTTAGGGCACAGGGGAATACTCTTCAGCATCAGGGGAGGCTGAATCTCCTACCAGGGGTTTTGTCCCCATGGAGGAAAACTCCATCTATTCTTCCTGGCAGGAAGGTGAGTAAGGAGAGGCACCAGCAGCCTCAGCCCCCCAGCTCCTAGGGCTGGGATCTATAGGGGGGTGGGGGCAAGCAGGGGCTGTGCTGCTTCCATGATGGTAGGAGGGGGCCCTCATGGCACTCCGCCTGCAGTGGCCGAGTTTCCAGTGCTGGTGCAAAGGACAGAAGCCGCCACCCGCTGCCAGCTGAAGGGGCCCTACCTGCTGGCACTGGGTCAGGATGCCATCCTGCTGAAGGAGCCCTCCAGCCCGCAGGCCCTCTACACCTGGCCCTACCGCTTCCTGCGCAAGTTCGGCTCCGACAAGGTGAGGCACCTTTCCCGCAGGTCCCAAAGGGAGAGGTGGCCCCTGGCCCTAGCCACTGACCCCTCCATGTCGCCCCAGGGGGTGTTCTCTTTTGAAGCTGGCCGCCGCTGCGACTCAGGCGAGGGCTTCTTCGCCTTCAGCAGCCCCTGCGCCCCCGACCTCTGTGGCGCTGTGGCCGCAGCAATTGCCCGGCAGCGAGAGCGGCTGTCGGAGAGCGCGGCCGCCCGGCCCTGCCCCCTGCCGCGAGCCACCTC